ATGTATGATCATCTTTATACATTGCTGGATTCTATTTACTAATATTTGTTGAGAAAGATTTTTGTGCTTATATGCATGAGTTGTATTAGTCTGTTTTCTTTTTCTGAAAACATTGTTGTCACTGCCAGGGCAGCTTGGGCAAAACGATTAAGTCAGTTGCTCTCCCTTTGTCCAGTAGGGGAACTCCTTGAACATAGAAACAGATCACAGACCATAAACTGTGCATGTCGATTAAGCAGATACAAGACAAAAATGTTACTTCTTCATAGCATCAAGCTACTAGTTAATCTAATCATTTCTTCCAGCAGAACCTATATATAGTTAAGTCATTATATTTATTCGATGTAAAAGTAATGCGTGGCTTCCCTGTGGGTTTGCAGACTCTGAAATCAATCTGAGCCTTGCTTCCCCACCTCTTAAAGCTGAGCTCTGCTGGGTGCAGCCCCCTGGTCCTGTCACACCCCGCACCTTGTGCTGCCTCAACATGCCACCCGTCTTCCCAGCCTCCTGCCCACACTGCTCCCTCTGCCTCAGTGCCCTTCTGCTTCTCCTTCTCCAGCATGGAATCATGAATGCTAAGAAATCTGCCTCAACCCACTAGGCAGAGCGTGCCCTCGCGTCGGTTAGTGAGGGGTCTGACCCCTAGTACACCCGTCAATTAAGTGCACTGCTCCAACGCAGTAACAACAATGAACAGGAGGGATTTCTTAAAACTCAGTGAGAATCGGGTTGGGAGGCTGTGAGAGGGGCTGTCTCAGCAGAGGCCGAGTGGCTGGATGGGAGGTCTGTGGAAGCTCCCGCTCAGGAGCAGGAGCAATGCCAATGGGCAGCCAGAAGACAGACCAGCCAGGTAGACCCCAGGCACGGGGCAAGCTAGGACAGACAGACCCACTGACACCAGCCACAGGCTCAATGGCAGGGGCAGCAGAGCACTCCACGGTCACCTTGGGACTCACTAGGGAACTGGCTGTCCACCCACGAGGCAGCACCAACGAGGAGGGAGAGGGAGGGGACCCACCCTGACAGGAGAGCCTCCTCTCGGGGTTCGGGCCCACACCGCCCAGCCGGAGAGGATGCGGAGAGGGGCCTTTTCAGCACCATCCGCTAACAGCTAACCACAGGGACCTTTAAGTGAGCTTGAGCAGGATGACTTTACTGAGCAGATTAACAACACGGGCTTCTTTTCCTCCGGTCTGGTTGGCCATCAGGATGCAGGCTTACTGGGGAGCAGACAGATTGCTCGGAGAAAACCGAAGAAGCTACATTCTCCTTCATATGTGCCTGAGCGTGGCGTGAGTCTGATTTTAGCAATTCTCTACAGCCCTTTTAAAAACGGCACCCATACTGCCTGTCCTGTAATTGGTAAAGTTTAGTTGGATGCGTTAGTATCACAAAGGTCAGGAGAAGGACCAAGAGACGGGCTTTTGGCTCATGAGTGGTCAACCTCGATTAGTGAACCGAGAAGACGTTAGAAGGCATTCAGTAGAATGGACAGCAAGTAAAGGTAACAGCTGAATGGACAGGACTAAGATGACAGAAAAATGGAAAAAGATTTTGATACAAACAGCAAGAACAGTAAGCAACTAAAAGACTAGAGACACCATGGAAGTTTTGCAGTGAAAGTGGGACTTGGGCTCCCCCTGGAGGGGTGGGTAGAATTTGACTGGACAAGAAAGAAGCTGAGAAGAGCCCAGCATCCTATGGGCCTGAGGGAACTCATGAGTGGGGGGCGGGGCGGGGCGGGGGGATCACGGGTTAGAGCAGGAGTGATGACAGGATCATATGTATGAAACCACAGGAAGGCCTGTGACAACTTTAAGAGGGCAATGTCCCCAGGCATTTTTTTTTTTCTGACTATGCTTTATTCTAAGTCTGGATAACCTTTATTCTAAGTCTGGCTTTCCAGAATTTGGCCGAAAACATTCTACCATAGCTTAGCAGTTGGCTTGTAGCTCTACTGTAGAAAAAAAAAAATGCATGTCCTCTCTCTCCAGAAGAGACTTGCAGTGGTTCAGTAATTTTATCTGTTTATAGTTAGGATTTACAATGTGGAACAGACAGTCCCATAGCTTCCTAATGACCCAATTTTCCCAGAGAAATTCCTACTCCCAAAAGCGCATGCTCACACCAACATAAAAAATTTGCTGACAGACAGGCACGCTACAGTGACTCTCAACTCTAGAGGCATGACTTCTGTGTTCAGGAACAGTGTGACACAAGACTGGAAGTAACCTGGAATAAATATGAAGACCCCACTTTTTAAAACACTTCCCTTTTCAGAACTTACAAGAGACTTAGGATTTCCCTTTATCCAAAGCTGCCTCCCTCCCTGGCATCCCAGTCTGCTGAGTGAGGAGAAAGGCCCGGAGCAACAGCATGCGGCCTGCTTGACCACTGAGTGCAGTTGCCCCTGTGCCCCTGGTCACCTGGGTGTGCCCGTGGGGATGCAGGCAGTGCCATCTTCCCCTCCGGACGGGGAGTGGTTAAGAGCTGCTCAAGTATGCCAGAGCCAGAGCAAGGCACAACCACCTCCAGCTTACCGAGCAGGCCCCTCCTTCTTAGAAAGCGTGTTCAAGTTTATTGAAATGCTCCTCGGCTTTTCTCAGGAAACTTCTGACCCATGTTAAAAGCACATGACACTGCAGAACATTTTCTGTACTTAGACAGCTGAGTGGGGAGTAAATGTTTGAAGGTTGCTTTACCCTTGCAAGGTCCTCTGTAAACAGTGGTGGAGAATTCATAACCATTTCAGAGTCAGTCTAACGTTTTTATGGCTTCCATTTCCAACAGCTCAGAAAGGGAAGCCAGCATGACCCTCGTACTGCCTAGGAACCTGGTAGCAGGTGCTAAAAGCATGGGCATTAGAGCCAGATAGACAAGCACTCAAATCCTAAACACCCCATGCACTTGTATGTCGCTGGACAAGTTATCTGACTTCTGTGCTTCAGTTTCTTCACATAAAATAGGCAAAGCAGTAGCATTTGTCTTACAGAATTCATCTGAAGATAAAATAATGAATATAGGGCAGTGGTTCCCAACATGGGGCTCATGCCTCACAGGGGGGCAATTTGATTTTTAAGGGGGACAATTCGAGAATGAGTTATTAACAGTGAATTTTTGTATTTCTTATGGTTCTAGGGGCCTCATGCACAATATGTATACATATTGACATATTTATGCATTTCAGTACTCCAGTATATGTTTTTTAAAATTTGCAATTTTTTTCATATCACTTCGTGTTATTATTTTTTAAAATAATTTCTTAGTGATTTCTTCCTCAGTACTTCAACTGTTCTTTTGTTCTTTTATTTTTCTCTTCCATGGATGCCATGTACTTTAGAAACTTGTTTAGACCAAGTTAATGGCCTTTTAGGCTTCCTCCATGTGAAGAGGAGTTCATTTTTTAAATAATAGGAATCATATGTCACAGGTGGGCATCAGGATTTTAGAGATGCTTAGGTGGGGATGGCCAAAAAAGGTTGGGAACCACTGATACAGAGCATTTAGCATAGTTCCTGATATAAAATGTGTTCTCTACAATCAAACTTCCCATTAGCCCAGTGTCTCATTAGTATTCTGATACTTATTTTCCTAAAAGCCTATGTTAACTGTTCAGTGTTGTATTTTTTTATTTTATTTTGTTAATTCTCACCAGGACCATATTTTCTCCATTGGTTTTGAGAGAAAATGAAAGGGAGGAAGGAGGAGAAGAAGAGAGAGAAACATCAATATGAGTAAGACACATTGATTGGTTGCTTCCTCCTGTGCTATGAACGGAGCTAGGGATTGAACATGCAACCCAGGTATGTGCCCTTGATCAGAAATGGAACCTGAGACTCCCTTGGTGCTGAGGCCGACATTTTAATCACTGAGCCACACCATAGAGGGCTCCCTGTCCTTTCAAACAAGGTGATTTATCCTTGTTATGTGTGTAGAACCTGCGTTCTTACCCATGAGATGAGGATAATACTACTTGCCCTGTTAACTGAAAGAGTCAACAGTTTGGGAATGTATTCTAAAAACTAAATATGTAAAAGTTATTAACTGAAAATTTTAACCTGCAATACACTATAGTTAAGTAAACTTGTCATTAATGATGTGGACAGTTTTGAGTTGCACCTGCAGATGTCAGAGAGGAAAAAAGAATGTTTGTGGATGTCCTTGGTTTTTGTCTCCCCTCAATGCCCCCATGTCAGAATGCCATATCATGACAAATCGTTTTTCCCAAACCTTCTCTAAAATGAATTAATTTTAATCATATAGTGACTCAGTATCTTCATGTGTTTTATTTTTTAATATAACCTGAGGATATTTTTTTTCCATTGTTTTTTAGAAAGAGTAGAAGGGAGGAAAGGAGAGAGGAGGAAGGTTAGGAGGGAGGGTGAAGAAAACATTTGGATGTGAGAGAGACACATCAATTGGTTGCCTCCCACATGCACCCCAAACCAGGGCTGGGGATTGAACCTGTAACCCAAGTACATGCATGCCCTTGACTGGGAAATCAAACCCGAGACCCTTTGGTGTACAAGCTGATGCTCTAACCACTGAACACACCAGCCAGGGCTATGACTAGTGTTTTAGTTTGCCAAATGTTACTTCTAGATTATTTTCCTAAATGTCTGTTGAGCTCTTTCTTAGGAAAGTCACGACTTGGTAGTGAATAAGATATGAGTTACTATTTTATTCCCAACTCAAGTCAAATCATGTTTATTTCTAATTTAGATCGCCTACTCATAGAACAATAATTAAATTAGGTATAGCATGATGTAGCTGGCAAGGCAGAGACTTCTGAGATTTGAATATTAAACCAGTTATTTAATAGCTGATTTCATTTTAAGCAATTTATCTTTCTGAACTTGCATCTGAGAGATGGGACTAGAACAGCCAGCTACCTTTTAAAAGAGATGGTAATCTTAAAGAGCAAAGGACAGTACCCTGACACAGTAAATGTTCTTAATGTGAGAATAATTTAACCACAGAATAAAACAGCATCCACTTACAGTTCACAGAGGCCAGCTCTGGTGCGAATGACAGGCACAAGCTGCAGTAACATTTTGACACCATTTTGCCATTCTTCTTCTCGTTCGAACTCACAGTATAGATAGCTACATTCATCAGATGAAAACTGATAGAAAACGTAGGTGTCCTGAAAGTATAAATGCTGATCCACTGTTGGGAAGAAAAAAGGTGTGGGTCAGTTTTTTAAAGTATATTATTTAGAGAGTCGTAAACCGAATACTACGCTGAAAGCATTACTGAGTACTATCTGGACAGCATGAATGCAGGCATGGAGTGTCTGGGTGGGGTAGAAAGCCTGCTATGAGGGACTGAGGGAACTACAGGAGGCACTCTGCCTGAAGTGAAGACTGAAAGCCGCACAGAGTGAAAGCCGGGGTCCTGGGTGCTGGAAGAAAACCGGTGCCAGCAGCCAGGGGAAGGAAAGCTTATTGAAGAAATCTCTTCATGCAATGGGCCTCTAGTTTTCTAAATAAGAGAATCAAGTGTTAGTTATTATTAACTTACTAAGATTATACCCCAACCCTATCTGAACCACTCTTCCACTGAGGAACTTGGGTTAAGCCTTTCTAAACCTTACTATGTTCTCTGGCCCTCTATATTTATTACCTAGAGAAAAAAGGGAACGGGGGGCAACCAACATTGACCAACCAGCATCTCTACGAAAGAGCTAAAAAAAAAAAAAAAAAAAAAAAAAAAAAATCAGATTGCATCACTCCTATTCTCCAAAACCCTAGGCTCAACAAAGAAAAGAGATATCAACTATCTTTTTAGTTTCTAGTCAACAGCAATTTTATGTTCTATTTAAACAGCTAATTTTTATAGGTCATATCTCTAACTGTTCATGATTACTTAGTCAATCAAAATGGCATACACATTCCACTCATAAAATCAGTCTCTGATGATAATTTTAAGTACAGCAAGATAAATCACACATTTAGGGCAACTAAAAATGTTACTGATTAAAAAAAAATTGTGAGCAGCATTTTGAGTAGGGAAGTGGGGGAGGGTATTCGAATAACTCTTATAGGCAGATGTCTATGAATCAGCAGGTACCTAATTATTTTTACAAAAGGTGTGAGAGAAATAACAATCAAATGATGACCTATCACTTTTATTTATAAAATAAGAGAGAATGCAAATATTTATCTGCAAAACCAATGTCCATCCAGGTAACCAGAATATCAAGTATATTTTGGTCTGGCCATTTAATAAAAAGTATTGATTCTGTGCCTCCCAAACATGCCCTACTAACCTGATGACAGAATCCCCATGTCCAGTAGGAGCTGCCAGACCCCTATGGCCATGGATCTGCACTGGACGAAAGGACAGTGTTCCAGAAGCCAGTCGACCAGTTCTGATCCAACACAGCTTCGCCTGCATAAAACAAAGCCATTCACATGAGACATTGTGGCCACTCATTTGCCAAAAAATTGGTATTTAACAGCATCCCTCTCATGTGCTTGCTTTTTAAAATAAGTGACTCAATAATACATGACATGTATCTCTGATTCATTCCTCTTTCAGATTTTAGCTCAAATATCACTTCCTTAGAGAGACTTGGAATCAAATTCTCTTATACTTTTTCTTCAAGTCACCTAACATTTAATAATGATACGTCTTTCTGAAAGAATAATATCTGCTTTATTCACTTAAGAGTAAATTTCAGGAGACCAAGGACTATGCAGTATAACTCACCATTATACCCCAAGAACTAGGACAGTCCGGGTACACACTAAGTTCTCAAAATACCTAAGTTTGCATACATTAAAAAATGAATTTAGCAGTCTTTTATAGAAAGATAATGTTTCTTCCTTGGCAAGACAAGTACCTCAAGTTGGTGGTGATAGATTTTGGTTCCACCATTTATAGATTTTTTATCTATCTCTTTTTTTTCCAAATGCAATATTTAATATAAGAGACAGAATATCAAACTATATTTACTATTTACAGTAGTTAAGGACAACAAAGAATGTACAGATTCTGAACAAACAGCAGAACCAGCAGACACCACATCCATATCCCAACAGCAAATTGCAAAGGAAAGGCAAGACTCTGGACAAGCAAAAGATGATGGTCCAGGTCGCACTGTCCAGGTACCAGAAGGAGGCAGAGCAGGGCCATCAGGCAGCAGGGGTTCCATACAGAAGGGCAGGAGGAGAACTAAGCATTTAATAGGTACAGGCTCCAACATGCTTCACAGAAATGAAACCACAGCCAATGCCAGGAAACAGCAAAGCACAGTCCATGAGAACAACAAAAAGTAGTCTTTGCATGGGGCCCATTTGTAACCACACTTCGAAGTAGCTCTTTGACACAAGAACATCAGCAATACTTAATCGTACTATTTTATAGAAAGACCATAATTATTCATCAGGAGTAAATACTGGAAGAAATCTGAGGCCACAATACTACTGCCAACTAAGAAATATGGGAATTGCTTTCCTCTGTATTAAAAGGGGACACCTGCAACTAATACAAAATAATATTGAATATAAACTATAATTGAAAACTAAAAAGAAGGAGGAGGAGGAGGAGGAGGAGGAGGAGGAGGAGGGGAAAGCCAATATCTGCTGCGCCCTCTTTTGCCCATGCACTGTCAGGGGCCCTGGCCTGGCCCTACGCCAGGGGACACGAGAGGAACTGAGCATCCAGGCCCATGCTACTGAGGGGCTCAGGTATTTTTCTTTTCACCTTTTAAAAAGCATTCCAGCCCTAACCGGATTGGCTCAGTGGATAGAGCACTTGCCTGCAGACTGAAGGGTCCCAGGTTTGATGCTGGTCAAGGGCATGTACCCTGGTTGTGGGCACATCCCCAGTGGGGGCTGTGAAGGAAGCAACTGATCAATGTTTCTAACTCCCTATCCTTCTCCCTTCCTCTCTGTAATAAAATCAATAAAAAATATTTTTAAAAAGCATTCCAGTATTCTCCCTTCAACTTTACCATATTCTCATAAACTTGCAATATTTAGCATTGAAGAAACCTATAGGACAGTAAGTGGACCTTCAAGAAACAGTTAAGTGGAAGTTTGTCTCCCCACAATGCTCCCGAAACTTGCCCACAGAAGCACCCCCACTTTGGTGATGTGAGCGCTCTACAATGGAATAAGCAGGGGGATCAGATCCCCCACTAAGCTAAAAAGGGACAATCACACAACAAGCTTCGGGGAAATGTTTTAAGAGGGGGAAGACAAAAATGAGAGCAAAAAACAAACCCCCAAAACCTTGCAACTCATTTTCCTAAACAGACATGACTACTGACTGGCTTGGTTCCCAGTAAGGACTCGCCCCTGCTGACAGTTTTGAGTGGCACCTGCAGTCTGTCCCAGAGGAAAGGAATTTCTGTGGACGTCCTTGGTTCCTGCAGGCTCCTTGGTGACGGGCATGGTCTCGTGTTCACTATTCAATAGCAAATGCTAGGACGGTGACAAAGAGGGCCCGTCCCTCTACAGACCACCCCCCAAGAGTCAGCCTTGAGCCTCCTGTTTGCTGCTGGAACACATCGGCGTATCTTCATCCTCCATCTGCACCTGGGCCGGGATGTCTGCTTCAGTCATTGGCTGCCCATCGAACCGGGACCTAATCTGTCTCATTGGCCAGCCCTGCCGCTCGCAGTAGGGCTTCATCAGCTTGCTCAGGGTGTGTGTCTCTTAATCTTGAACTGGACCACGGAGCCATCCTGCCGGCCACTTTCAGATTGATGTGGTCATCTATGGCCATACCACCCTGAACGCGCCCGATCTCGTCTGATCTCGGAAGCTAAGCAGGGTCGGGCCTGGTTAGTACTTGGATGGCAGATTGATGTGGTCATTCTGTCTTCACTCGCTCCTTGGGCTTCTCCTCGGACGTGGCTGTATGTGGTTGCAGGGCAGTGGGACGGCAGGGAATTGGGCAGCGCAGGAGCTGGCAAGGGCGAGTCACGCTCTAGACCCACCAACTGTTTGCAGGGCTGTGCTTTGTCCCCCAAATCCTGGTGCTCCTGTTGGCCATATGAGGTCAAGTGATGAACGCATGTGCAGGACACGAGGCCCTGGGCATTGAGCATGCACCTGGTTTAGCTGAGGTTCCGGCTCTAGTCTCTTTTTAAAAAACAGTTTTAATTGATTTTGGGGGAGAGGAATGGAAAAGGTGAGAGAAACATCTATGTGAAAGAAAAACTGATCGGCTTCCTCCTGCAACCCCCTACTTGGACGCCCCTACTTGGGATTGAGTGCACAACCTGGGCGTGTACCCTGACCTGAAATCAAACCAGCGACCTTCTGATGCATGGGATGACGCCCAACCAGCAGAGCCACACTGGCCAGGGCCTACCTAGTCTCTTCAATAAGAACAAAATAATTCCAAGAGGGTTGGCAAAATTGAAACACAGTGGCTGATAGAGAATTTTGTTTGCTACTTTTCAGAGATTAAATCTTAAGAGTTTGTCTCAAAGGGGAATCCCTTTGACTGTGACTCTTTTTAATATAATCTAAGCAATCCGGCTAAGGAACCTAGATCATAAGACCCACAAATGCAGATGTGTGTGAAGGATTCTACTAACCACACACACCCACACAATATTCTCTGTAATCTGTCCTAAAACATATTCAAAGACTGTCCCATCTGGGTGTTACAAAAAGTATTTCATGCCTCCTTTTCCACCTTTATGAGCCTGTGACCCAGAGAAGAAAGCTTGCTGAAATGTAGGTTCTCATTTGCAGAAATTTCATTGAATCCCACTCTCTCTTATGCGAAACTGTCACCAAAATGACTTCTTTAAAATGATGTATCATGTGAATGGCTATGTTCATTCAATATTTGGTATTTAAGGACCAAAAGATGTAAACTTTATTTGTATTCCTAAAACAGAAAAATACTGCCTATCTTCTGTGACTGGCATAGGCACAAATAGCTAGAAATCACACAGTAACCAACAACACAAAGATAGGCCGAGAGGCACTTCATTTTCTAGAGTGAAGAAAAAAATAAGCTTTTTCTGTTGAGAGGTCTGATCAAACATTCTAGCGTCACTGTTTTTGGTACAGCACTGCTGTTTGTAAGACACTCTAAGGCAATTAATGCAATACCGGACATGCTTAATTGCAGGTTAGCATTAAGACATTAAACAGGTTAACAGTCAAATAAATGGATGTGTTTCCTTAAACAAAATGAGAAAACAGATCACAATGAAACAATTAATTAGACCAATATTAACTTCTAATTCGATAGGACACCTATCATGTGAAAGGCTCAAAGTGTTAATTAATTCCTTAACACCTCTGTCAATTAGCCAGCATCTTCACACTAATTGCTTGGAGCACAGTTATCACACAGATTAAACACTGTATCGTTTGTAATCCTTATTCTCAGAACAGTCCAGCTCCTCAACCTACGATGTGGAACATGAAAGGCCAGGACGGAACATTTACTGAATCAACCAAACTGTTACACTGCAAAAGGTGGCTGGATGGGTGGGCGCGCATGTTTGTTCACAGGTGATGGTGGAGAAATTTCTCAGACTGGGGGATCCTCAAAACCATGGTTAAGCATGACCTGAGAGGCTTACTTGCAGATTCTGAGGTAGGACGGAGAGTGTGGGTGGGACCTGAGAGTCCTCAATTCTAACTGGCTCCCCGGTGATGCTGATGACCACAAAGCCCCAACCCCCAGATCTCCCTTGTCATTGGGAAGAGCTCGCTCTGTTAGGGGGTCAGGGCTGAGTCCATATGTGAAAACACAACACTGCCCCGACAGCGGTTAGCAAGGAGGTGAGCTGCCACTGCATTAAACTCATCCTACCTGGACTTCTGACCAGGCCCGCAACAAAGCAGTTAAAATGCCCAGATCCACAGGATTTAAGGAGAGCGGTGAGGAGGGAAACTGCGACGGTGGGGAGGGAGCAATCTAAACACAGACAGCAGCTCTTGTTCCCGGCATTGAACTGAACACAGGAACAGTTTCAGGGACGTGCAGACCTCACCACAGTCGCGCCTGAGGTAGGAACACTGTGATACGGAGGTGGCTAGGTACAAGGCCATGTGATTGCTATAACAAAGCATTCTTTTCACAATCTCTGGAGCTGAACGTTTGCTATCGCTTAGCTTCCTTCTGTTACATTTTTAGCAATTATTTCATGACGGTGCAGACACAACTTTAATCTCGAATATATATAGGGCGATGCTATTCGGAGACCAGCTCTGAAAGTAATTCTCGTGCAGTGTACAGAGAACACTTCCCCTTAATGCACTATTAGACACATGAAAATGATCCCTTGTGGGCCACCATATTGGCACTTTGTCTTTATACCTGGGCCATGCATCAGTCCTTAGATTCTAAGAGAAGGGAGGTTCTGGCCTGACCGTTGGGAATCTGAAATAGCAAAAACTCATGCTCTTTCCTCATTCTATTCCCACCAGTGTGTTCTAACTTGGATGGATGATTCTTTCCATGAACCCTAATGAACTAATGTATATCTCTCCATTCTTTTTTCAATCTATGTCCATAGAGATCACAAAAAGAAACGAAACAGAACAATGACAGACATCACACGCAGCCTTATGTGTGGCGAAAATGAATCCCATGAGCCCAGCTGGAGAGCTCAGTTGGTTAGAGCATCATCCCGACACCCCAAGGTTGTGAGTTTGCTCTCCAGTCAGGGCTCATACAAGATTCAACCAGTGACTGCATAAATAAATGGAACAACATTTTTTTTCTCTCTGTCTCTTTCTCTCTCTCTCTGTCAATAATAATAATATAAAAAAATGAATCTTATTAGCTCACTCACAACTAAACCCAAAGACTTCATACAGTTCTTTAAAAAAAAAAAATCAGACATGTCTAAGCTTAGTTAAAGAAATGACCTTTTTCCTACTTTTTTTTGCTGTCATTTATTCTTCCTATTCTTCCTATTCTTTATGGTATTACGATTTCATTTCTATAAGAAAGAATAATGAAAATCAATGATAGGGTTTTTTTTTTTTCCTTTTGTAGTTTTCTTCTGGTATTACTTGGTGTGGTTTAATATCTTTACTTAACATAAAAATATGGAAGACTACTAAAAAAAAAACTTTTGGCCCTAGCCAATTTGGCTTGGTGGATAGAGCGTTGGCCTGTGGACTGAAGGGTCCTGGGTTCGATTCTAGTCAAGGACACATGCCCGGGTTATGGGCTCAATCCCCAGGGGAGGAGATGGGCTTGCAGGAGGCAGCCAATCAATGATTCTCTCTCATCATTGATATTTTTATCTCTCTCTCCCTCTTCCTTCCCCTCTGAAATCAATAAAAATCAATAAAAAAAAAACTTTTTTTTAACCTCCAGAAAATGAAAATATGGGCTCCAATCCTTCCAAGTGACTACTCTCTTGGTCCAGCTTTCTTTAAAGCAGGCCTCTAACCCACCCGTTTACTCTAGCGCCTCTGCCCCTATTCACTAGCCAAGACAAGAAATGCCATCCCTCCACCAACCTGCCCCTCCCGCTCTTCAGAGCACCCAAGGGGCTTCTCACTCCCACCTGGCGAGCTGAGCAACGTTCTCTCAGCCCATGGACCTGAGAGTCCTCTCAGAGCCTCGCTAAGGCCCCTGAAGGGGGAACTATATTTATTGATGTCGCCATGTAGAACACGCCCAATAAAATTATGCTAAACTGTCCCAGCTCAAAGAAAGCAGAGGCTCTCTCAGGACCCCATCCACACCTGGGGATGCCAGACCCTAACTTCAGAACCAGGAGTCCAACTGTCAACAAACACTTAACTACGTTTAAAGAAGAGACAAGTCATCACAAGTGACCAAAGGACACAAACTAACCAACCCCTTCTGCTCCTGATACAGCCTGTCTCTGTGATCAGGCTTAAGATTTTAACACTTTTTTTTTTCTGACAAGATGTTAGAAAACTGTGTTACCTGTAAAATCCCTTGAGGTTCACTCTGTCCTTGATCAGATCAGCTGCCTGGACGATAATGATATTCCTCAGTGCTCTTCCTGCACAAGAAGAATTCTCCCCATAAATCTAAGTGGAAAAAACAAACATTACCTGTCAATGTAGAATAATCATGCCATAATTTGTGAGCATACTATATAAAAAAATAATGACCAAATCCATAAGCTTAAGACACTTATGCAGCTACAAGCTCAGCTACCTATTTTATTTTACTTTTGCTGTTGGTTCATTTATGCTATGAAACTCTAACAGCTATTTTCTGTATGCTAAACGGTTTCAACTAAAATTACAAATAATATATTTTACATAAGTTTTTAGTGTAAAATACCCACTGTTTTTAGTAGTAAAAACATGGTGTTTCTATCAATAAGGCAAATCAAGGACTATTTTTATTATGCATTAGCTCTGCCATATTGATTACCACATCTATATAAAGGACTTGGAAGATGGGAGACAGGGGAAAATTAGTTTCTCATCTTCCAAATCCTTTAATTCACCCTCTTCCCCCATAGTTGCCCTCCCCCCGCTGCCCCAGTGCATTGTGCTGTCCTAATGAAGGAGCTGAGTGACAATGAACTGTCTTCATAAATGAAGGCTCATGAGAATTCGTATACACAGGGAGTAGGTATTCATATCTGTTCCCTTGTTTCTTGGAGAACTCTTTCTGCACCTACAAAATTTTGCCTCAGTAAAATATATATCTTCGCTCAAAGCAAGCAAATGGATAATATATTGATTATAACTTAACAGGGAATGATTCAACCCCATCCTTACACTTTTTAATGTTCCTGTTATCACCTCCTAAACACAACCCTATGAGAAAGTGAGGACAGAAAATGACTTACTTTTAACACGTTAAAACTTAAAAAGGACGTGAACAAGTCAGATGACAGAAACTATTACCCAAAGAGAGGTACAAGTCAGCGGACACTTGACTGGTCCTGACGTGGTACCAGGATGCAGTCCCTCAGTCATTGAGGAAAACATTTAATGACGCTGGGATATGATCATGGATAAAGGCCAAAGAGGTCTCTGTCCTCACAAAGCTCCCCAGCTCCTGTTGTTTTAAAAATGCAACTCTCTGACAACATGATAGAGGCTCCTCATCTTTTCTCACCCATTAGCATTTGTGGCATTCTATTATTAGATAAATGTAAGCGTAAATAATCCCCTTGCCAGTTTTCAGTGTTAAATACCCGCCATTTTTTTAATACAGTGTTTCTATACAGGAAATTGAAAATGTTTATATTATGTATTAAATTCTGCCATATTGATAATGCATTCGTGCAAAGGGCATGGATGATGGGGAAATCTTTTTTCCTATCTAGTGAACATTTTGAATTTGACTCAGCTACCCGGACATCTCATCTGACTCTGGCTGGGTCATCCCGGTGCTGGAGATGGCATGGTCAGGAGCACTGAGGACAGCTGTGACTAGAGAGTTCACCATCAGGGTCTGTGAATCACTGTTTCATAAACTACAGTAAGAGAGAAAAGAATCATACCTGGGAAGAAGTGTGCTCGAGGTATGGATTGGAAATCCTTCTCTGGAGAGTCTATTTTAAAAGAAAAAGGGGGAATAATCAGAACCAAGTAGAAATCATTGTACCCTACGCACAGCAGTGGAAGGCCCAGGAGCTGTCCCTGCCGACAGATGAGCTTAAACATCAAGTCCCAAAGCGCTAACATCCTTATTCTCACGCTACAGCCTGGTTAACATACACTCCCATGGGACAGGATATACCATTAAAACAGCTCCCAACCTACAGAGTGCAAGTTTAAAAAGTACAACAGAAAGACTGGGGTGTTTTTGTACTTGTCACTTGGTTCTTCATGTGATTTTGGTTCCATTTCTCCTTTCCTTCTCATGTCCATGTTCACAGTCTAACTAAGCTTTCATCCCACCCACGGGAACCCCTGCTGCAGCTGTATAACGGATTTCCCTGCCCTCTAGTCTAGTCACGCCCTCTCCGGCCATCCTGCAATCCCCCTGTCCCCGCCCCCTACACAAATGTCTCTAAACCGCCCCTCATCTGAGAGTGGGGCTCCTATTGCTTATGTGCATCAATCCACACACCCCCAGCCTGTCCTTCTGGGTCCACAACAGTCTGCCACCCACCAGCAACTAGTGGTCTCTTTCCACCTCACTACCTGGGTTCTTTATGGGTTCTTTGTTTGTTTGTTAATCCATTGATTTTTAGAGATAGTGGAAGGGAGGGAGGGAAACAGTGAGGGAGAAATATTGATGTGAGAAAGACACATCAATTTGGTTGCCTTCTGCATACCTGACCAGGGCCAGGGATCGAGCCTGCAACCCAGGTATAGGCCTTAGGCCAGAATCAAACGCGGGACCCTTCAGTCCAAGGGCCAATGCTCTATCCACCGAGCCAAACTGGCTAGGGTGCTACCTGGGTTTATTCTTCAAAATGTACTCATCAGAAGACCCTGCCACTCCAATACTCCACAGCTTTGCGTTCACGGCACCCAGCTCAGCAATCTCCATTTTTCTACCCAGTTATTGTAGATATCTGTATCTCTTCATCCACTCAGTAACACAGGAGCTAATTTCTCCCACCGAACAATCCAGCAGGCAGCACCATCACCCACGGGTGCTTAAGCTCCATGGGAAATTGTCTTTCCCACTGCTGGGAAAAGAGCAGAGGAACTAACATTTCCTGAGCCTCCAGCCTATGTTTGAAAAGCTCCTTGCTCCTCTATTCCTAGGCTTGCTGACTTTTCAGATCCCATGGTTTTTAGTCTGCCGCCTCCACTTCTTCGAATTTGCTAAATTTACAAACCATATCCGGCATCTGAAGCTTCTACCCAACTGTAATGTAAGATAGAATTCCCCTTCCGCCTCTTCCCCTCCTCACGCCTCCCACACTACTTACCTTCTAATTAAACTGAAATAGACATATAGACGCTTCACTCAAAAATGCCAATGGGTACATCCTGCTAAAGCCTTGCAATGGCTTCAAAGAAAAGGACATTTATAAGGTAGAGAGGCCATGTTGAATCCCTGTGTCCTAAAAGAAAATACCCACCTCCCCCTTCCGCTCTTGTCATACCCACTCCCAACTGTCTCTTCCCGGGGCTTCTGTCATCCAGCCTTGGTAATGTATTCACTTACTGAAATACTGAATAATTTAAAGTTTGCATATGCACCAGATTTATAATTTGACGATGAATCATCATGATAAGTGATTTCCCTCCTCAACAGAGCGACTTTTAAAGATCAATATAGCAGGCCAGACCTGACATTCTTTATTACTCATCTATTTGCATGGATCGGCTCGGAAAAGCAAATGCTGCCTCTGATCTAGTTAAAAAGAAAGCATTTAGGCAGAAACAAGCTTTAAAGAGTCAGGCAGGGGCACTTCCACAAAAGAAAGCAGCCCGCTCCCTTTCTCTCTGCTGCCAACCTAGACCCGCCTGTCTCAGCCCTAGCCTTGTCCTCCCAGTTCCACTTATGGCAGTGGCCCCTGGATGGCTTGTCTGAAAGGATTGGTAAGGTGAGTAAATAAAGCAAAGGGATTCTTCCCTGCTGACTAGATAACGGGGTTAGATAAGCTGCTGGCCCACAGGGAACCGACAAGAACAACACCAGAACTGCCTTATACAGAACACAATACCTAGACCTGCAGTCAGACACTCCCCGAAGCCCTCTCTTAACCGGGAAGGGCCGGGGGGGGGGGGGGGGTGGAGGGGGGGGAGGATCAGCTTGGTTTCACTAATGCCCCTGGTCGGTCGCTATGGAACTCCACTGAGCTCTCTGCAGAACTCCGCCAAGTCCTGGTTTCTTACATTTAAAATAACTACATAACTACGCTCTCTCTTTTTAGAGGCCACTCTACGTAAGTTGTTGCAAAAATAGCAGGTGCTGGAGACTTAACGGAAGAAGGGTATGGAGGAGCGATCCATTTGTTACCTCGTTTTTAATAGGATTGGGAAAGGATTGCTGCATCGTTTCATCCACAGAGGACCAGCCCACAGGAGCCCGAGGCTGCCTGCCCCACGTCACCTCACAGCGTGCTCTGCCAGCACCTACCTGGCAGCCGTACAAGAACCCTCTGGACAGTGCACTCCCCTCCCCTTTTCAACATGTCTCCACCGCCACACCTCATAAACACAGTGCCCAGAGATAACGACCCCCTTATTTCCAATGTCCTAGAATTACTTATATTCGATGCCATGAGTCTTTCATGAAAGACATACGGACACCATAGAGAAAAGACTGCTAACAGTACAAATAAAATTAGATTTAATTCAAATATATTTCTTCTCCTTTCCGTTTTAATAAACCATGAAAAAGGATTTCCTAGATGATTCTAGGCAAACTGCGTATTTTAAACAGGTATTAGAAAATTACAACCCTTTAATATTAGCTTCCAGAAAAAAAAATAATGGTATAACTCAAAAGGATAATTGATTAACAATCACATATTACCTTCATGGCTTGTTTTTTTGTTTGTTTGTTTGTTTGTTTATTTGTTTGTTTTTTGTTTCTGAGTCAGGTGTCTACTAAAGCTAAACTATAATAGTCTGTGAGACTGGGTGTGAACCGAGCATGAAATTCATTCCAGTCACTAAAAGTATCTTGATAAACTATATAATAGACTTAAGGCACATTTCTTATCAGCTCTTAAAGGTCATCTTAATACGCTCCTTGGATTGAGTTAAAGTACTTAGGCTACTGAGGGGAGAGAGAAATCGAAGGAGAAAGGCCGATTTGTGGTACCTGCTCTATTACAAACAGGCACCAACAAGAACCACCAAGTGTATGGATAACTTGCGAATTCAGTTCGTGACAGAACTTTCTATCACCTCCGGCCACTGTCCTTTTGCCATTCTCGGGGACCAAGTAGGTGATGAGGTAGACTAAGTATCCTTGGATTTCTCACCATCTTATGAAGCCAGAAAGCTCTGTAAGTCCCGGAGGGCACCTGAAGTAAGAGATTATGAACTAAGACAATAAAAGTTGTGATCGGGTAGGCAGTGTGGTGGAGTGCTAAGATGGTGGGTCCTTTTTAAGCCACAGGATACACTTGCCTCTCAATCAAAGCGTGGTCAGGTTAAAAGGACAGAATCCCAGCCACCACGTTGGCTTGAGAATTACATGGCCATCACAAGTTAAGCACAATGTAAACAGGAGACATGAGCCAACTGGTGACATGGAAGGGCAGGGCAGTTTACCACGACTCCCTTCCTGCCAGCTCTGGTCACCATGCAGGCCCACCACCATTTCCCCAAGGAACCAGCTCCCAGCAGCCAGTCACAGCGACAAAGGGCACTGGTCATATCTTCTCAGCATCGCCTGGCCACATCAAAGCCCATGATGTTCTTGAAAGCACTTTTATTCTAAGTTGTGTGGAGTTAAAGGGAAGGTTGCAAAAATGCTTTCTGAGCACTCACCCATATCTTGAGCACTTTCCCATAATAGTCACTGTACCCACCTATTCCTATTTTTACAAATAAGAGGCCGGAGGGTGACAGAAACTAAAGTTTACTTACGGCCCCTGAGAAGGGAAGTGACAGAGCCAGGACTGAGGCTAAAGTGACGGTTCTAAAGCCACCACTCTCCTGTAACGGGCTGCATGTCGTGAAACAGTAATAACTGCCCGGCCAGGGGGCTCACGTGGTTGTCCTGTGCACCCTCAGAAAGATGCGGATTGGAGTCCCAGTCAGGGCTCTTAGGGAAGGCGACCAATCAACGTTCTCTCTAAAATCAATAAGCATATCCTGGGGTGAGGATTAAAAAAATTTGTTTAAGTAAGAAGTGGTTTAAAAAATAATAATAAATAATTAAGTGAATTACTGAGCTCGTATCTTCTACCTTAGAATGTGGTGATTTAAGAGGAACGTGACAAACGAGTACATTTAACTGCATGAGGACGTCACAAGTAGCCTCCACTAGATATGGCGAATAAATTGGAACCACCTAGGAAACTAAAACAAACAAAGCAAAACAGGTGTTCAGGCCACAGAACTCGAACTTCTGGCACTACCTGCTGCTTTTTGCCAATCTCCCCAGGCAATTCCAACCCCGGGGGGGGGGGGGGGGGGAGAAAAACAATCAAAATCTGTGGATGAGATGGGCCATTTGAACCTCTCATCATCCACCACAGCCAAGAGGCTTGGAGCATCCTCAAAACATCGCCTTGATCACACTCCCGGCTGAGTTCACAACACAGCAGAGGAATCAGCCATTTGACCAATAACGCCGCGCTTCTAAGTCTACCTGGTGCAGAACAAAGAGCCAGTGTTTCGTGGCGTTGCACCCGTCTGTGTGGTTTGTGTTTTCACATACCCCAGCCCAGACACAGCCCTGAGCCACGATGCCTTCATGTCTGCAGGGCCGCGCAGCACCCTCACCCCTCCCGAAAGGGCATTTCCTCTCAATGGCATCCTCGGCGTTCAGCTTCATTGTTACTTCCCATTACTGAAGGAATCTTCTAGAATAAACATGTTTGTCCACTTAAAAGCTAACATAAAAAAAAAAACACAACAACAACAACAGAGGATTCTAGGAACACCTTTAAGTCTTTCACAATCTCGC